TATTTTCAGTTCAATTGTAATTTTCTATTTTTTAGATTATTTGTAAGAACTGAAATCACATATCAGTTCGTAGGATTCCCGTGTAATTTTGACACCAAATTATCCAACAAAAACCCAATCAAAAAATTAATAATAGAGACTACGGTAGAATATTGTAGGAACTAGACATATGTGGGTAAGTCTAGAACATTATATGTAGTATTGGTAAGGTTTAGAATAATTTAGAAGGGGATGTGGCTAGTTCAAGATCGTTCATGCGACGGAGGGGTGACTATTTAAGAATTGTGTTGATAATATTGGTCTTGATAGAGTGAAGTGTTGTATCAGTCATATTGTGTTCGTGGAATTACTTTGTTAATCTTCATAAGCCTTGAATATCTCATTATTCCGAATATAAACACAAATTGAAGTTAAAAGGAGGAAAAAAAAAATGAAAAAAAATTTGTACTGAACATAACGCAAGAATTATTTTTTTATAAATCTTCGAATTGGCCGAACCATGTCCCCACTCCTCAGACCGTATTTCAGCGATATCGCCATTTGAAAATGCCGCGGAACTAAAGTGAAAAAGGCATACCAAAGATGGAGAAAGAGAAATGATACAAGGATTGTTATAAAAATAGCCGTTTTTTTTCTATACCGATTCAAAATATACTAAATGCTTAATTGAAAATAAATTAATTTTGTTAGGTTGACAATTATATTTTATTATAAAAAATGTATATTCATATTTTAAATTTGGCTAAATTGCATATAAAAGCACCACCTTTCATGTTTTTGCAATTTAATCACCACCTTTGCAATTTAGCAATTTAATACACCACTTTAGTTATTTTTTTCAATTCGAATCACAGGGCCCAATTTTGGGCCTGTTCTGGTGACGTGGAGGCCCGTTCTGCTGATATGGCATTTTTGTGATGACGTGGTGTTTCCACGTGTCAATGACGTGGCATTTTTGGGCTGACATGGCGACCCATGTGTCAATTAAAAAAAAAAATTATGTTGCATGCTCTGAGATTCGATCCTGGGTTGAAGGAGTTGAAGGGTAGCCTTAGCTACCACCACACCAGTCCAACTTAGTTGTTAAATGTGATAACCCTTTATATATATACACATTACATTACGTATGGAGAAATCAGATTAAATCTAAAAAAATAATTTAATTATATTAAATAAAATTATATAAAATTGATTTAAAAATAATATATTAAGATAATTAAAATATATTTTTTCGAATTCATATATTGTGTTAGAGTGAATCATATTAATAATATTATATTCATTTAATATTTTTATTTATTTATTTAAAATAAATTTATAATAAATATAATAACTTATTATTATATAATAAATTATTATTTCATTTAAGTTTTTTAATATTTTATTATTTTATATAAAATAACACTTTTTGTTTTATTATTCATTACGATTACTTAACATTTTATTTACTTAAATTATATTTTTCATTTATTATATTTATTTAAGATTTTTATTTATTTTTATTTATTATTTCATAATAAG